TATTATATTATATTATATATATTATTTTATTATATTTATTATATATTTTATAAAGGGTGTTTCAATAATTTGGACCGAGTTTAAATGTGAATCAAGTTTAAGCGTCTAATGATTTTTTTCTTTTACTTTCAGATTTAACAACTTCAGTCTTTGGCAATTTCAACCATGGAAAGATTAACAATCAAACAATGTGTGAAAGTTATCGAAGCCTATTACGAAAATGGATGTTCAAACAGAAATGCATTGCGCGCACTTCGCAATTGTTTTGGTCAGCATAATCAACCATTAGAAAATGTAATTGGAAACGATGTAACGTTGTTGTGGAGAGGTTCAATTCCTGCGCGCGGTGATCAGTAGATGTTTCTGGATTTTCGGCCATATTCTCGTGTACTGCAGCAATATTTTTTGCTGAACGGCGTAAACGAGCACGCAATGGTGTTTTCACATCTGCCACAGACCCAGTTTGAATTTGCGAACAATTTTTCCAATTGCACTCTTGAAACTTTAACACGTTACTTGATTGTTAATCTTTCCATGGTTGAAATTGCCAAAGAGTGAAGTTGTTAAAGCGTGCTGAACAACTGCAAACTCACAATGCCCCTTTTATTCAACCAATTTGAGGTTCTGACCTCCTCAGCCGATAAGGCCGAATGTTTTGCTCCTAAATTCTTATCCAATTCAACGCTAGACGCATCTGGTGTACCCACACCTGATTTCCACACGGAAGTGAGGTTCTACTGAGTGAGATGCACATAACCCCAACGATAGTATTGAACATCAACTCTAAATTGCACTCCCATAAAGGTTAATGGTGGGAACGGGATAACGGCCATTGTCCTGAAGAAATGTCTTCCTGAATTAGATCCTGTCCTCTATAAGCTTTACAACTACTGCCTCACCGACTCTTGCTTTCCAGTCAGTTGAAAGTCCTCATCTGTTGTACCTGTCTTTAAGAATTCTGTTGACTCTTCTGGCCCGTCTAACTACCATCCTATCAGTCTCCTACCACTCTTCGGTAAAGTCTTCGAGGCTTTATTCATCCCCGAAGTGGTTAAGGACTTTACTTTACATAATCTGCTCCCCGACAAGAAATATGGTTTTCGCTTTTCCCGATCCACCGCTGACGGGCTCACGGCCGTAACTGAACTCAACAATAATGGAGAAGCTCAAGCGTGGGTCTAGACATCTTTAACGCGTTTGATAGGGTTTGGTATGCTGGCTTTCTTCGTAAACTTCAGGGATACGGTATGAAAGGACGATTATTTGACTTAATACAATCATTCCCCTGAAACTGTGAAATGAAGGTCATCATAAAACGATTATCCTCCAGCTCTTTTATTACGAAAGCTGGTTTCCCCCCAAGGCTCTATCTTGGGCCTTACACTATTCCTGATCTTCACCAATGACCTCCACAATGTCATCAAGTCGGTATCTACGCGGACGACACTATTATTTGTCTTTGCTTCAATAGTAAATTTGATTTCACTGACAAAACTAATTTGCCTGCTAATCCGGAAAAGAATCTCCAATCTGTAGTTGTCTGGGGCAGGAAATGGCTTGTAAACTTTAATGCTTCCAAAACGAAACTGCTCTCCTTTACCCACCACAGAGAACCCTGCCTCCCATCAGGATGGCTGATTCCCAACTCCCTGGGAGCGCTTCGTTACACCTACTTGGTTTCACACTGTCCACTGGCATGAGTTTGAATAGATACACTGAATCAATAGCTTCATCTACCACAAAGAAAGTTGGCTCTCTGCCTCGTGCCAGAAAGTTTTTTCTCGTCTGAGTCCATCCTTCAAATCTATAACTCAACCATCCATCCTTTCATGGAATATTGCTGTCATATATGGTTTGGTGCTCCCGCTGTAGGTTTCGACAAAATCTTGAGACGAATATGCAAGATGATAGGTCCTAATCTAGCATCTAGTCTACAATCGCTATCCCATAGACGTGCGGTGGCTTTCCTCTGTCTTTTCTACAGGTATTTTCACGGCAACTGTTCCGACAATTTACATTCGCTGGTTCCCGGACTGCATGAGCTACCAGGCTGGCATCTCGCCCCACCCTTTCAATGTCAAAACGGTTAAATGACTTTGTTCGCCGTCCTTGTCTCTATATTTTCCCCAAACATGTCTCTTTACTCTTGTTCTCAATCCTCTGTAACCCCTACTGTGCTAGTCGCATTCTCGCTTTGCTTGGGGTGAATTGCTTTAAAAAGAAATCTGAAAGAAAAAGAAACATTCATTAGATGCTTAAACTTAATTCACATTTAAAATCAGTTAAAAAATAATGACGTAAGCATGTCGTTTTTTGACGTTAAAAAATACGTCAAAAAACGACATTATTACGTCATTATTTTTGCACCAATCTAATAATTTGATAAGATTCGATGAGAAAGCTGTCATGAATTTCCGTCTAAGTTACTTACTTTATCTTAAAATACTTGCTGCCAAAAAGCTCCTTATATTTACCCCGATAAGGTTCATCAAAAGACGAAACGTGTCGGCTTGGATAAGTTTTCCTTTTCTCTTTATATTGTCGTTCTACAGATGTACCCTTAGTTATATGTGTAATTTTAATATATACTTAATATATTAATTAATATATCTGTAATATATATATATTACAATGAAGCATTCAGACAAAAAGTAGATTAGTAAAGTTAATGATATAAAATGGCGAAATCCTTTCTCAGACAAAATTTTAAAGTTGCATTAACCTACGAACCATGCGATGAATGTTATCATCCTTGTTCTTAATAACTACAAGCTGTATAAGGTCTTTTTTTAATCTGCAAGTACTTTCAACTGTACATTCAGTCATCCTCAGGCATGGAAATTATTGTTTTTAGTAAAATCCAGGTAGCATCAGAGAAGAAAAAAATTAAATGCGAATCGGAATATTTTTTTTTTTTTTTTAGAAATGTGTTATTGTTGACGGATAAAAACTTTTGGAATGTGCAGTCGCAACAATAAGGTTGAATTTTTTTGAAAATTTAAGAGAGTGTTTTTTTTTTTTTTTTACTAATATGGTAATTTGAGAATGCTTTTGTTGTAAGAGTTTATTAGTCAATGTGGCATGAACTAAATTGTTCAATAAATAAAGTAATGTCTCAGTTATTATGAAAATTAAAATGTCAGATAGGTTCTTTTAAATTGAACTGCACCACATATTTGATATATATATATATATATATATATATATATATATATATATATATATATATATATTCCCCAGGCATGGCACACACAAACAAATAATCTTTCATGCAAATTTCTAAACAGTCAAAACGTCACAGCAATGTAATCGATATAGGCATTTAAACATGGTCAGGTCAACCTGCAGAATTTCATGTCATATTTTTTTAAATAAAGTTAGAATTGGGCATGATCATTGGTACCAGACAAGCGGGTCTGATTATTCCAATAAGTGCAGATCTGCTATTTTTTCTATCGCCAAGCATCTTTAAGACTTACAGTGGAATGATAGGGAAAAAAATCCATTCTTCAGTAATTGTGTGGGTAGACATTTCATATTAACGAAAATGGTTAGAGGTAAATGGCTAAATAAACACACACACACACATGCCCTCGCGGTAAATGCGGCCAGAACTTTAATACGTTTAATATATGTTTATGTTACACTCACTTCAAATTATTCAAAACCCATAGAATATCTTTAAGTTGTTAGTACGAGGTCTGTTGACTTGTTAGCTCTTTAATCTAAGGGGTCCCGGTAATCTGGTTCAGAAATCAGGAAGGGTGAAGCGTATGATTTGCATATTTATATATGTAGATATTAAGGAAATGAAAGAGACACAGTAAACATGGACAAAAAAAAGGGCTGGTTTTAAGAAACAGAAAAAAAAATAATCATCTAATACGCTGTAAATTGTGTGTGTATATCTCGACTCCAGTCACTTTCTCACCGACGTAATGTGGCTTCCCTCTGTTTTTTCTCTAAATATTTTAATAGCATCTGTTCACACGAGTTATTTTCACTGGTGCCCCGATTTTATGAATATAAACGTGCTTCTATGTTGGTATCTCGGTCCCCCCCTTTTTTTTTTACTGACGAAACAGTTAAATGTAACCGCCTCTTCCACTTCTTCTCTTGCATTACCCTGATAAATATAATCTTCAAAAATTTAAATGCAATGTCAATCGACATCTTCTGTTGCTTTGATACTCTTTCTTCATTTTGTCCTTTCCTCACCCCCCTCATACCCAGTCTTTTCCCTTATTTACACTCTCTGTAACCCCTTACGTACTAGTGGCACTCCCACCTTGTTTGGGGTGAACTGCTTAATATATATATATATATATATATATATCCTTTGGCCGGACAATGTGTGCCATTTTGGGTGAGGGTGAACGTTCCAAAAAAACATAAAATGTTTGTTGGCTTTCATCGTTTCGAAAAACCATCTTGTTTTTTACGACTTTGTCAAACAAGCACCAGCTCGATATAATTGCGTTTTGTGTCTTGAATATTGGATTCTTACAACGAAGTAACCTTTTATTTTTTTTTTTTTTTGGCAAAAATATATATATATATCATATATATATATATATATATATATATATATATATATAGGAATATCCTTGAGCCCCGGCAGAAAATCGTTTGGGAAACGGGCGACAACCAAATGAACAGTACTAAATATAAGAACTAGCCGACATATGCCTAGACATGGACAGTGAAAAGAGAACGATTTACAACCAGAGATTAAATACTGGGTTCAGTTTGAGAATTTTGAAAAGGTTATTAAAATCAATATACACCTGACAAAACCTGAGCAAATAGCCATTCCAAACCAAACAGATTAACAACATCGAAAGATGAGGACAATAGACCGAATGTAAATATCTCTATTCTTTCTTTTTTTCTTTCTTTCTTTCTTGTTTTTTCTTTCTTTCTTTCTTACAACCTTTTCAAGAATTTTCTTTCTTTTTTTGAGTTCCCTTGATAAAAGTCGTCGATCTCTCTTTATTCTA